CCAGCCGCAGCTCTACCCCCACCCTCCCTGCCCCAGCCCCAGCCCAGGGTGCCACCCCGCCCTGCCCCACCCAGTCCCAACCCCAGACGGAGCTCCCTGCAGCAGCACAGACGCAGCCCCCACCTCAGCCCCCTACCACGCCGGTGAGACTGAGTCTCTTCGCATGCCCTCCACTTTTGACTCCCTCCTCCCTCCCGTGCAAACTCCCATCCCTCTGCCTGCCATGTACCAAACCATCCCATCCACATCCACCTTTTCTATCTAATAACTTCATTTTCACCACTGTTTGTAAGCCCCCCCAATCACAATGGGAATATTACACCTCTCATCGTAAGGGAGCAATGATATGTATACGGGGAGGTGTGCATTCGTGTCATAGCCTCAGAGCCCTGCATGCAAAACAAAACAAACCAAAAAAAGTTGTTGCAAACACATCATGACTGTATTTTTTTCTCCCTCTTTGCCCCTGTCCTTCCCTGTCCTTTTTTCCCTCTTTTGTGTTTCAGCTGTCTCAGCCAGGAGCCAGTCTGGATAATCGGGTGCCCACACCAGCCTCAGCCGCCAGCGCCGACCTGCACTCGCAGCATGTTGGAGCAGACCTACCTACCCAAGAGGTCAAAACGGAGACGCACCATGATCAACAGGAATTTGAGGCTGCTGGTGGAAAAACTGAGCCCAAGATGGAGGTGAGCTGTGACTGCAATTTAAAATGAGTAAAAACCTAAACTATAACTTATTTATGCTTATAATTTTAATTAATCTTAATTAAGAGACACCTTATCTGATAGTTGTTCATTAGATCACGACCTGATTTGGATTCACTTTTTTTTTGTGAAGAAAACAACATGCCGCCTACACCATTGGCTGGTTGAAGCTAGTGAGCTGTCCTTGGCTGTCAGCATTACAAAATGCCTTATAAAGCATTTGGTCAACTTAGAATAACAAAGTCAAGGGATTCACAAATAATTGAGCTCATGAGGTTATAAACAAGAAAATCATTATTCTAAAGAGTATTACTGTCATGAGTAGATGGCTATTTCTATTGTTTACATGACTGGTATGAAATGTCTTTTACCTATATGTTTATAGACTGAAGATGAGTCTGCTTCAATGTTGGCCAAGAAGGAAGAGCCAGAGGAAAAGCCGGAGCCCATGGAGGTGGAGGAGAAGAAGCTGGAAATTAAGACGGAACCCAAAGAAGAGGAAGAGGGTGGAGCTAACAGCACAACCACCTCATCCCCATCTCAGTCACGGCGGAAAAGTGAGTCTAGGGCCAGGGGAATGAAAAACTCTGCGTAAACTCTGACTGAGGTTTCCTCAGTAATCAGGGAGGGTTTTAGTTATTGCTGTTAATGTATACAATGATAAAGTCAAAATACCATCATTAGTTGCGCTGACAGAATTATGTCCAGATACTTTGCGATACTTTGAACTTTAATAATAAACTTTGTAATATAGAAACCTACAAAGAGCAGAAGTGCTGGGAAATGTAAATGAAATTGTAGAACTCTGGTACAGTGGGGGAAAAATTGTTATGCTATTGGTTATAATTTGGAAAGAAGTAGTTTTCCCTTATAGGCAAATAATTTGGGGTAGTGTCAAGTAACTAAACGTACAATATAGAAATATTTTTGTTTCCTTTTTTTTCTCTTCACCTTTACCCAAAATTTCCCCTTACCTTGGCTTTCCATTGTATATTTTTCAGTTTTTAAACCCGAGGAGTTGCGCCAGGCTCTGATGCCAACTCTGGAGAGTCTGTACAGGCAGGACCCCGAGTCCCTGCCCTTTAGACAACCAGTAGACCCTATGCTCTTGGGTATCCCGGTATGTAGCAAACAACAGCTGGCTGCTTAAACACAGCAGCACTTGTAGGTGTTTCAAAGTGTTGCTTGTACTTCTGGTGTGAACAGATAATTGAGATGCACCATCTTAACTCTTAATCGTGTAAAACTTTCCTCTTTCTTCTCTCTTTAGGATTACTTTGACATTGTGAAGAATCCAATAGACTTGTCCACAATAAAGCGCAAGCTTGACACAGGCCAGTACCAGGAGCCCTGGCAATATGTGGATGATGTCTGGCTGATGTTCAACAACGCCTGGCTCTACAACCGCAAAACATCCCGTGTCTACAAGTACTGCTCTAAGCTGGCTGAGGTGTTTGAGTCCGAGATTGACCCTGTCATGCAGGGCCTGGGCTACTGCTGTGGGAGAAAGGTGAGATCGAGTGGGTGGACAATAGATTATTGAATGCCTGCAGTTTTATTTCAGGATAATATTCTTTGTCTTCTATAAATAACTGTTTGGATATTGTTTATATTATAAATGTAGTGTTAAACTCTGCTTCTGCTCTCGGTTTAAATTAATGTTTCATTAGGATGAGCCCAAGTTTTACCTGCCCACATTTTGAGTTCTCACTGAAATTTGGCAAAGATTTTCCAAACCAAAGCCAAAACTCTACATTCTAATCTTCAGACTCACTTTTTTCTTGAACAGTTTTATTTGGACCTTCTTGACCTTTCTTGTTGTCTCACTTGTGTTTACAGTACGAGTTCTCCCCTCAAACCCTCTGTTGTTATGGCAAGCAGCTCTGCACCATACCTACTGGAGGCACATACTACAGTTACCAGAACAGGTACCTTTTTATGAATAAATGTACTTAAAGTGTGTTTTGTTCAACTAGGTCAAAAAACAAATGTTGGGTGAGCACATGCTTAATCTCACCGAGGAATCTCATTTGCATTGCACATTTGCATGCACAGTTTTGATGGACCAAAATTGCAACCATTTGAACTGTTGCGCATCCCCTGTGAGCCCGGGTTCTGCTCATCTGTAGCTGTAGTGGGATCGCTGTCATACCAGTTACGGTTTTAATGGCTCTGCCTTCAAGTCCTGGCACAGTATGAGACTTCAAAATGGTTTTGCTCGCATTTATTAACTGTTAGGTTCCAGCGTCATACATTAGAAGAAACACCCAAATGACCATCAGACAAAAAGAAAAACAAGCCATGTGTTAATTGTTTTTTTTTCTCTCGGCATCTGTCAAGGGGACTATGTGAATTCATTGTCGCTGCCCCCTGTGTTGCGTGATGACTGAAAATATAACGCTTTAGTTTAGGCCACAAGCTGCCTTCCCCATCATTCTCTTCTCAGTAGAATTCAGCACATTGCTTTACACAGTGTACCTTGCACCCCCTCCTGTATAAACTGTGGAACTGCAGCGTTTTTGAGCAGCGCAACAGCACGGCATGAGACTCCTGCAGCGCAGTCCATTTACACTCTCAATAGGAGTTCAGGGAATCCCCGCTCTATATAAAAATCTAGTGTTATTTTGTACAATTTGCCTGGGCACACTCAATCCTATAGCTTAACATCAACTTTTGCAATATGACTCACATTTGAATACAACGATAATCTTGTATCCTGGTATCTTTATCATTTTTAACGTGCTGAATGTGTGTTTGTTTGGTTTTTTTTTCTTGCAGGTATCATTTCTGTGAAAAATGTTTCAATGAGATCCAAGGGGATAGTGTGACGTTAGGAGATGATCCTGCACAACCACAGACGTAAGTAAAACACTGGCTTCTGCAGATCTTTAAAATCCTACAACACTAAATTCATTCTAATAGAAAAACAATCCCTTAAAATGTCTCTTAAAATACAGAAACTAAATCAACATCAAGATTTTGCTTCATGGTTGAAATCTGTACCAGACATGCATAAGAGGGAGATTTTGTCAGTGTTCAGTGTTTCCAACTTGGGAATCGGCACAGTGTAATCCCACATGATGTTTCCAGACTCCAATATTTCCTGTTTGGATACATCCAGTTTGTTGCACACACCTTGGTCAAACCACAGAAAACAACTGCAATCCAAGATCATAATATTTTTGTTCTCAAAATTTAAAAAAAGTGAAGTTAACAATTTGTTTCAGCAGAATTGCTTCGTAGTTAAGATGCGAACATGCACTGAAATATTGACAACATCTCTAGCTTTAAAACCATCTTAATGTGAACACATTGCTTGAAAAAAGATTTTACTATTCAATATCTGTGTTATTTATCTACTATTTTATAGTCACGGTATTACTTGGTTAACTTTTTCTGGTCGTTTTGCCCACACTTTAGGAGGATATCGAAAGACCAGTTTGAGCGGAAGAAGAACGATGTCCTCGACCCTGAACCGTAAGTCAACACAAACCACACACCCTTCAGTGAAAGGAACTCAGAATGGTCGGTCTTTGCTTCTTTTCCCAGAGTTAATCTCTGATGCCTTTTTCTGTTCATGTGTTGCTGATCATGTCTTTAAACAGTTTTTTCCCCTGCCACCCACATCTGGCTTTGTTTTGGTGTGTTTTTTTTCTGCACAGTCTGCATATTTTCTCTCTGATCAATCTCTTTGGTTTCAGTGAAGCCCAAGGGCAGCTCAGCAGCACCACCTGCTGAGTGTAACTTGATGTCGAAGTTCTCTCTTTCTAGTGAGGGCTTGGATTAGAGAGCACAGGTCATAAAGTAGCTGTCTTTTAGATTGGTCACTGTGATTTTTAGATATGTTGCACAAATGTTATGCTAAACCTCCCACAAAGGCGCTCTTGTATTGGCTGGCTTGCACGAGCGTAACGACTGGAGGAACATTGACGTGAATGACGATCTCTATGTTGCTTGCTGCCCGAGCAGTAAAGATGTCAACATTCATACAAATGATAACCACGGGGAAACACGACTGGAATAGTGTGTATTTTGTAACGATGTGTGAGAACTGAGTGATATTTTAGTTCTGTTAAATTTTGTGTGCGTTTCTTTTTTTGTATTTGCATTTTCTTTGGTTTTAAATTTGAAAAGTGAAAGCATCCCATGCTAACTCCACACAGAGGGTTCTCTCTCTGTACTCTGGCTTCCTCCCAAAGTCCAAAGATATGTGTTGGGTTCGTTGGGGATGTGAAAATGGTGATTCAGAATTAGCTGTCGATGAGAATCCACAAACAGTTTTCCATCTCTTTGTGATTCCCTGCAACAGACTAGTGATGTGTCCAGCGTTAAGCCCACCTTGTGGCCCGTGACAGCTGGAATAAGCTACAGCCCCACTGATGATGATGAATATTAACGATTTTTTTCTATGTTTTCTTTTTTTAAGGTTTGTTGAATGTAAAGATTGTGGACGGAAGATGCACCAAATATGCGTCTTACACTACGAGGTCATTTGGCCATCTGGGTGAGAATTTTGACCGCCGTTGATTTTGTACATTTTTGCAAATTTGTATTTCCGCTAACAGTGTGTTTAACCTCCCTCTGTATGATATGTTGTTTTTTTCCTCAGATTTATCTGTGACAACTGTTTGAAGAAAAGTGGAAAAACACGAAAGGAAAACAAGTTCTCAGCAAGAAGTTAGTACTCCTTCCTGTTTCAGATGTGAAGTCTTTGGTTCATCTTTCACGGCTATTTATTTTTGGATTTTTCAGAATGTCAGCAGATTATTGAAGATTTGTCTTAACAAGCTAAGACTTCCTCCATGTGCCCATGGTCTCAGTGTGGTGTTAGCCTTGTAGTTTAATTATCAGTTTAGGCCTGGAGGACCATATCTGACTTTGATGGAATATGTTAGTGACATATTGGTGATCTGAAGTTTTATAGTCGATAGACCATCGATAGTGTCCTAATGTTGTTGTTCTCTCCATGCTGCAGGTTGTGTACTTTTTCCTGGAAAAATGAAGCTCCTGCTTCAGGAAACAGATTTGACCCTTTTCAAACTTCTGCCTTGTGCTTGTCTGTTGTAGGGCTGCAAGCAACACGACTGGGAACGTACATAGAGGACCGTGTGAATAAATACTTGAAGCGACAAAACCACCCAGAGGCTGGGGAAGTGTTTGTACGAGTGGTGGCAAGCTCTGATAAAACGGTGGAGATTAAACCAGGCATGAAAGCTAGGTAAGACCATCATTAACAGAGGAGAAAGAGGGATAGGATGTTTGGATATTCGAATTTTAAAAACAATGTTTTCCATTGAAAGTAACATATTTTGTACTTGTCTACTAGGGTTGCCTTAGTCAAATAAATGAACAACCAAAGAGTCAACAGTTTGGGTGAGGGTAGCCAAACCTCCTTAATTTGTAGATAAGCTGGCAAGGCTTGTGTTTTTCCCTAGCTTATTTTAATTGCCATAAAGAATGCAATGTCCTCTATAAAGATTTTACACCCACTCAGAGTAATTGTGAAACATGCCTGTTTGATGAGATGTCGTGCACACCCTCCTAGGAGGCCTTACGGTGTTGTTAGATTCACCATGGGATCAAAGTCAACAATGCGTGTCCTATCTTTGCAGGGAGGAGTCCCTACTCCAAGAGCCTGTTATCTTAAAGTTAAATGATTTAAGGCTTTTAGCTTTTTATTGACTAAAGGCAACTTGACTTGAATCGTCCCATTGTGTTCTTCACATCTGCTGAAAGCTACTGGCTTTCCACGTCTGTCACTGATTTTAACAGATGTGAAGAACACAGTGGGACGATTCAAGTCATATTTTCATGGCTATACATTTTAATATTTCCTTTTGTTGGTTTCAACAGGTTTGTAGATACAGGTGAAATGCCAGAGGCCTTTCCTTATAGAACCAAAGCACTTTTCGCATTTGAGGAAATTGATGGTGTAGACGTGTGCTTCTTCGGCATGCACGTACAGGAGTATGGCTCTGAGTGCCCATTCCCCAACACTAGGTCTGTGCATTCAATTATGTCACACAGCAATAAATAATAACTTTTCTTTGCGGTTTTCTGTGGTTCACGTAAGATTGACCTTGTCTTCTTTCTTTTTAACCTTTGCAGACGGGTCTACATATCATACCTTGACAGTATTCACTTCTTCAGACCTCGGATTCTACGAACAGCCGTTTACCATGAGATCCTTATTGGCTATCTAGAATATGTCAAGAAACTTGGGTAAGGCTCACTCTATTCTTTGTCTGTTCTTCCTGACGACTTGCACAACTGGCAAAAGCCTCAGTAGATCCAGGTCTCGGGGTAACGTCATCACTGTCTCTTTGGCCTGACTTACTGTTCACGTGTGTTCACAGATATGCCCAGGCCCACATCTGGGCATGTCCTCCCAGTGAAGGTGACGACTACATCTTTCACTGCCATCCTCCTGACCAGAAGATCCCCAAGCCTAAAAGACTGCAGGAGTGGTACAGGAAGATGTTGGACAAGGCTTTTGCTGAGAGGATCCTGCATGACTACAAGGTAACAAGGCGGAATGAAGGACGGCATATTATTACTAGAGATGGCACAATACCACTTTTTTTATGTCCGATACCGATATCATAAATTTGGATATCGGTCGACACCGATATCACTCTGATATAGTGTTTTTTTAACAATAAAACATAAAAATTTTTATATATATATATATATAGTGTAATATTATTATAGATATATGATAGATAGATGATAGATAGATATAGATACTTCCTCTGAGATGAAATGCTGGTTTGGTAGCGAGGCTACAAATACACCATCACGTGATGCATACTTCTACGGTTATGAGCCGAGTTACGCCATGTTGCAAGTTTTGTGAGGTGCTTTTTTGATATTTAATGGATCGGGTTACATTTTTTATTTCTCTCTGATATCCGATCCAGTAATTTACGTCAGTATCGGACCGATACGTAATATCGGATCGGTCCATCTCTAATTATTACCACATAAAAGCTAAAGTGACCAAATTATAAAGGGCAGATGATAATGTTATTGACTACTGAGGTCTTTGTTATATTAATCAGATGTCTCACTAGCTGTTGTTGGGATTAACCCAGTGTTTTCCATCCGTCTCTCAGGATATCTTCAAACAGGCAACTGAAGACCGACTGACCAGCGCCAATGAGCTTCCTTACTTTGAAGGTGACTTCTGGCCTAATGTGCTTGAAGAGAGCATCAAGGAGCTGGAGCAGGAGGAAGAAGAGCGGAAGAAGGAGGAGAACACAGCTGCCTCTGAAACTCCAGAGGTATGATTATTATATGAAGGTTTGATGTAGTAGAGCAGCAGAAACTCCACTGTCTTGTATTGTGTTACTATCTTTGTCTTTCCATTGCAGGTGAATGATTCGATATAAGGAGTTTAAAGAATTAAAAAATGTATTTTTATGTACTACTACCTTAAACATAGGGATATTTGAATCAAAATAATTTCAGTGGAATTTAATGAGATTAAGGTGACATCAAACCAAGGCAGAGAGTAACTAATGAACTGTGAAAATTTGTGCACTCTGTGCTAAGTTTTAGCACTGGAAACAGTGAGAATATATAATGATGGAATAATTCATACATAACATGTTTTCTTTAATATATTTTTTAGGGAACACCAAGTGACAGTAAAAACGCTAAGAAGAAGAACAACAAGAAGACCAATAAAAACAAGAGCAGCGTGAGCCGAGCCAATAAGAAGAAGCCTGGGATGCCAAATGTAGCTAATGATTTGTCTCAGAAGTTGTATGCCACCATGGAGAAGCATAAAGAGGTCAGACTTGTTTCTTGTTTTTTTGTTTTTTTTTTGTGGTAGTGAAAATTGGGAGGTGATGAACAATAATTTTATGGATGTGATCAAAAGGTTAACTAGTGGGAAACAGTCCGAATAACGAAAGTAAGTCATGCTTTATTTTGATTTTTTTCCCCCCTCTCCTTTACTTAAGGTGTTCTTCGTGATTCACCTTCATTCTGGGCCCATGGTCAACACTTTGCCGCCCATCGTGGACCCCGACCCATTGCTCTCCTGTGACCTGATGGATGGCCGTGATGCCTTCCTGACTCTGGCAAGGGACAAGCACTGGGAGTTCAGCTCCCTCAGGAGGTGCAAGTGGAGCACCATGTGCATGCTTGTTGAACTGCACAACCAGGGACAGGATCGCTTTGTCTATACTTGTAACGAGTGCAAGCACCACGTGGAGACACGCTACCATTGCACTGTGTGCGAGGTTAGTTTCCACTGCACTGTTGTTTTTACACTCGATTATTTTGTGTCAGTTTGGAACTAGGGAGAAAAAAAAAAAGGATGATTGGAAGTGGAAATCTGTCAGATACGTGGAATGACGTACATGAACTGAGTAAACTTTTTACTTTACCATCTTTGGTTGGACTTTAATTACTATGTCCCCTTTTCTTCTTTTTTCCCTCTTAGGACTTTGATCTTTGCATTAATTGCTACAACACAAAGGGCCATGAGCACCAGATGGTCAAGTGGGGTCTTGGCCTGGATGATGATAACAACAGCCAGAGTGGGGAGGCCTCCAAGAGCCCACAGGAGAGCCGGCGTTTAAGTATTCAACGGTGCATTCAGTCCCTGGTCCATGCTTGTCAGTGTCGCAATGCCAACTGCTCTCTGCCGTCCTGCCAGAAGATGAAGCGAGTGGTACAGCACACCAAGGGTTGCAAACGCAAAACCAACGGTGGCTGTCCTGTATGTAAGCAGCTTATTGCTTTATGCTGTTATCACGCAAAGCACTGCCAGGAGAACAAGTGTCCTGTCCCGTTCTGCCTGAACATCAAGCACAAGCTTCGCCAGCAGCAGCTGCAGCACAGGCTCCAGCAGGCCCAGTTGATGAGGAGAAGAATGGCCACCATGCAATGCAGAACCATGCCGCTACCATCCCCACCGCCATCAGCTGCCCCTAGCACTCCCACTTCCCACACTCAGCCCAGCACTCCCCAAACACCCCAGCAGCCTCTTTCCAACCAGCCGCAGACCCCCAACTCAGCAGGCGTCATGTCCCCGTCTTTCTCCAATGCACCTCGCACTGCCCAAGCTCAGGCACCGGTGTCTCAGGGCAAACCTGGGCCCCAGGCCTCCCCTCTACACCAGCAGCAGTCCCCTCTCCCTCAGCCCCCCCAACCATCACAGCAGCTATCTCAGCAGCCACCTCCCATCGCTGCAGTCAAGATGGCACAGCGCATCGAAATGATGGCGCAGGCCCAGCAGAACCAGCGGAACTACCGTGTCAACGTGAATGGTTTGCCCATGAATCCCCAGCAGCCACAACAGCGCATGACGGCACCAATGCAGCCAGCAATGCAGATGGTGCCTGGGCCCCGGGGACCACCAGTCATGCAACCTGGTATGGCCACTGGACAGTGGGGTGGAGCTTCAGGCCCCATCCAGCCAGGTCAAACTCAACAACCAGGTCTTGTTCCAGGCCAGTCCCCACAGCAGCCCATGGCCATGCAGCGAGCCATGATGCCACCAGGGCAGCAACCCCAGCAAAGCCAGAGGATACTGATACCACAGCAGCCCGGTGCCCGGCCACAGACTCCCCAGAGAGCTGGAGCTATACCTCCAAATGCTCTGCAGGACCTCCTCCGCACCCTAAAGTCTCCCAGCTCACCCCAGCAGCAGCAGCAAGTTCTAAACATCCTCAAATCAAACCCTCAGCTAATGGCTGCGTTCATTAAACAGCGAACAGCCAAGTACCATGCCAACCAGCCGCAGCAGCAACAACAACCGCAACAGCAGCAACAAGCAGGCCAACAACAGCAGCCTGGCATGCCAGCAATGCAGAATATGGCTATGTCTGGAGGGGCAGTGCAAAGGACGGGGATGCCACCACAGCAACCACAGCAGCCTCAAGTGCAGGGCATGGCTGCATTAGGGACTCAAGGGCAGCTGAACACCGCGCACAATGCAAACCCCCAGATCCAGGAGATTTTCCGCAGGCAACTCTTATTGCAGCAGCAGCAGCAGCAGCAGCAACAGCAGCAACAGCAGGGAGTGTTACCACAGAGCCACCCGGGTCAGTTTGCTGCTCAGTCGCAGGGTACAACACCCACCTACTCCCAGCTCCGAATGCAACAGCAACAACAGCAGCAAATGCAAATGCAGGCAGGGGCACCTGGAGGCCCCATGGGTCAGCTCCCACCAATGGCTCAGATGGCCCAGTCTGGCATGGGGATGGACTCGACCCAAAATTTACTGCATCAACGACTGCTTCAGCAGCAGCAGCAACTTCCCCAGCAGCAGGCTGTCCTAAAGCAGCAGATGGGCTCCCCTGGCCAACCAAGCCCCATGAGCCCTCAAACCCACCTCCTGGCTGGGCAGACTCAAGGCGGAGCCCACCTCCCCAGCCAACCTGCTTTAGCCAACGCCCTCAGCAACCAGGTCCGCTCCCCAGCACCAGTCCAGTCCCCTTGTCCACCCTCGCAGCAGCCCCCACATTCCAGTCCTTCGCCGCAGGTCCAGAACCAGCCCCAACCCTCACCTCAGCACCCACCCCCACCCCACTCGGGTTCACCCCACACAGGGCTTGGGGGCCCACTGCAGTCGATGGAGCAAGGACACTTGGGGACACCAGAACAAAGCGCCATGCTACCGCAGCTTAATACGCCCAACAGAGGAGGGCTGAGCAATGACTTGGGGATGGTAGGAGATGCTACAGGGGACACTCTGGAGAAGTTTGTGGAGGGATTGTAGCATTTCTGCTGGGAACTAAAGAACATATTGTCACTCCCACGGACCTGTCCTCCCACTCCTCTTCCTCGTTTTCCCTCAAACTCTTTATCCCGTTAGAGGGCTTTGTTTGTTCTTTGTAAGGCTGACAACGGTTTTTGTACTGACATGTAAAAAGTTTCAAACGTTGCAACAAAACAAGAAAATTTGGTTCATTTAAAATAAAAAATAAAAAATTCAAAACCTTTAGGGAATGTAATTGTTTCCTAACCCTAAATGGTAGGTATTTCTTCCTTGGGATGTTGAGGGATTTGCAAGTTGCTTCTTAAAATGAAATTAAAGTCACAAAGAATATATTTTTTTGGTTGAGACCAAATGTGTTCAGTACTCATTTTTTTAAAAAAATTTTGTTTGTTTGATTTCTTGTTTTTTGGGGGGGTTGTTTGTTTATGGGTTCATGCCTTTCTTTCTTTTTTTTCTTTTTCTTTCTTTCTTTCTTTCTTTTTTTTTTTTTTACAAAAATGTAAAGTTGCATTATATTATTCATATCTTTATTTTGTACCTTTTGAGAATTTTTGTTTCTTTTTTGTTTCTTTTTTTTCTTTTTTTGGAAACTGTAAAATATTTTGTCTCTGAATTGGGCCAGGTTTTTGTTATCTTCACAAGCTGTCATTCCTGGCAATTGTAATCTAGTGTTGTACTATTACTGCAAGAAGATGCGTTCAGGGACAATGACCGCTCCCATTCTTTTTGTGTGTATGAAGAGCACTCATTTGTATTAAAGTAGGAAATGGCCTGCAGCAGTTTGTGTAAACAGGCATGTATGCAGGAGCACATGAAGACACTGACACAAACCCTCACCGTCACTAAAGCCGCGTTTCCACCACAGGAACTTTTACCAGGGACTAGGGACCATACTTTCAGTTACGTTTGGGGTAATTATTTAACCCCCCACCAAAAAGGTCCCTGCTTTGGGTGGTTTTGAAGCGTTGAACATTTCTGATTGGAGTACCCGTCTTTACCACCAACTCCAGGGTGTAAAAGCAGCCGTCTCTTTTTATTATGTCAGCGGATTTATTTTTTTATTTTATTTTTTTTCTTTTGCTTAATTTTCACGGGCCTTTTAAACATTTTTTTATTTCCTTGGAAACAAAAATTTCTGTGACTACGACTTCCGGGTACTTTTGGGTGGACACGCGGCTTAGGAGATATACAGCTGATTGGTTCACCAATAAGGACTGCAGCCTACAACTCAGTGGCCTGGAATTTGGAAACGTCTTGCAGGTGTAGAAAGTTGTTGCTTTGACATTAAAAAGAATTTGTCATACTTTTTGTCATACAAATGTTGTAAAGTGTAAAGAGATTGTGAGAAAGAGACCAGCCCCCTAAGCTGAGGTGGAATGAGCAGTGGTTGTTTGTAGGCAATGTCTCTGATGATGCCCAGTTCTCCAAATTTTACACTAAGTTGTGTGCTATCAGGGGATGATGGGCACATTTGAGATTCACCTGGAGGAGAACTAAATGTCATCAACCCTCATTCCTCTCACAAAAAAAAAAACTTGAATTAGGGGGATTTACTTTTTCTCCTATTGTAAATCAAGTTAAGCAAAATACTATAGATATAAGGAAGAGCAAATGAAATCACTGTATAAACTGGTAAAAGACTCATTTCTTACTTATATACCATATTGTTAAATAAACTGTGTGCAACAGAAGAACTCCAGTACTCTGTTGACTAAATAATGAGGCATCACTTCCTCCTGTTGGTGTGTATTCATTTGTTTCCGGTGTTACATTACCAGCAACGACTGTTCGGTTTTCATGTCACCTAAAATAACATTTATTTTAACTTTAGTCCTCATCCTGAACTTTTAAAAAGATGGAGTTGAATTGTTGTGTTTAGTAAAATGATATGTATCGATGCAGCACTTTACAAATAGTGACCGATGCCTCTTTTCCACCCATGTGAATCTGGTGCCTGAACTAGAACCGGATTCGTGCATTTCCACCAAAGCCAGACTATTGTCAGCAAAAATTGGCACTTGGTTTTATTATTAGCAGGAATGTAAGACCCCTTTCTTTCAGTCGAAGTGCAAAGCATTAATAAGTAACCTGCTAGGCTCTACAAAAAGTCTAGTGAGAACCTGTGCGATTACAGAAAATACTAATTTTAACCACTATGTCAGGTACACATTTGCTAATTTTTTTTAGTGTTTTAGATTGAACAAGTTGCTGGAAACATTCCTCAGAGACATTTGGTACATGACGGCATTGTGCAGCACATTCACAATGGTCTGTGAAACCTGTTAAGTACATTTTAGTGCACTAAAGTAATTGTCATTTAGAAGAAAATAGTCTCAAATTATAAGAGCTTTATAATGTGCATTAACCTGCTAAAATAGCCATTAGAAGACGGAAACACTGGTCATGAAGACATGGACACAACGAGCAACAGTAGTTCAGGTTGATTTATACGATGTATCTGAATTTTCTTGCTTCCTACATGCCTTCACATTCTAACAGTATTCATCAAAGCCTATCCACTCACCAGTCGCTTTATAAGTCATACCTTGCTAGTACCTGTTTTGACCCCTATGCCTTCAGAACTACCTTAATTCTTCCCAGCAGAGATTCAGTGAGGTGCTGCAAAGATTCCTTCGAGATTTAGGTCCATATTTTGATGACAGCATCGCAGCCGCAGATTTATCGGTTGCACATCCACGATGTGAATTTCTTGTTCCGCCACATCCCCAAACTCTGGTGACTGTGGAGGCTATTTGAGTACAGAGAACTTATCCATCCGATATGGATAAAATCTTTACACTGTGGTCATAAAGTGATGGACATGATCAGCAACAGTGCTCAGGTAGGCTTTGTGAACTTCTCCATTAGCTAATCTGCTTCAAGGTGTCATGCGTGCAGAGATCCACTTCCCTCGGTTGCAACAGCTGTTTGAGTCATTGTTGCCTTCCTATCAGCTGGAACAGTCTGGCCATCCTCCGCTGACATCAACAAGTTCCAGAGAACTACCACTAACTGGGTATTTTCTCTTTCTCGGCCCATTCTCTATAAACCATAGAGATGGTTGTTTTGGAAAATCTCAGCAGCTCAGCAGTTTCTACATACTCAGACCATTCCGTCTGGCGCTAACAATCATGTCGCATGCCAAGTCACTTAAAATCACCTTTCTTTCCCATTGTGGTGGTATGGTTTGAGCTTCAGGTCATCTTGACCATGTTGACATGGGTAAATTCATTGAGTTGCTGCAGTGTGATTGCTTTAAGGAACATGTTGATCAAGCCTGGGTCTTAAACTGGTTTTTAAAAAATCATTATTTAGTTTAAAACAATTAAAAAAGTGTTGGAAATCTTTAATAAAGCGTTTATAAATTATTATATTAAACTGTTATTTACGGATTCCGTCCAAAGTCACTCGCTTTAGTCACATGACCTCGACAGCAGCCAGTTATTCGTTGCTTTCACCGTCACATGACCGGAAGTTTTAAATGAAGCGGTTTGGGGCGTAGCTTTGAAATGAAAACAAGTGTTGTTTGCTGTCTTCTACGCTTTTTAGTTAATAAAAAACTCTATAGAATTACATATGGTTTTAAATGAATGAAAATAAACTCTTCGGCGGCCTCTGTAAACAATGAGGCAGAAAATTAAACAGTTAATTCATCAAATATGGGTAAGTATAGAGGTGCTAGCATAAGTAGCTAGCTGTTGTTTTCACTCCATACCTTTTGTGGCATGATTTGTCAAACATCTGTGCCACATATAACTATTTCCATTTGTCTTAGTGTGCATGTAATTATAGCATCGCTGTTTTTATTTGAATACAGAATTACCCGCGCAAAATTTACTTACATGCAAATTAAACCTTTTCCCTCCATCGTTTCACATCAGTGGTTCCAGCTTAAACTAGTTGTCTTTTTGCAGGGTGATCGTAAAAGCCTCTTATTGCGAAAAAAAATACAGTATAATGGATGACTCGGACCAGGATTTTGAAGATTTCAGCTCGAAGCATCTAAGACGAGTCCGCAAGAAACCAGGTGAAGCCAGACAGGCCAGGAAAGCAGATAAGCAGACCTCCAGTCAAGCAAGCGAAGAGGATAAGAGAAGGAGAAATAACAAAAAAGCTCTTAACTCTATCAAAAGGTTATCTTGGACGCAGCCTGCTGCTGCTGCTGGTGCTGGCGATGATGGTGGAGGAGAAACGCGTGTGGTCAATGGAGAGGCTGGACATCAGTCAGGGGATGCTTGGCCATCAGCTGAGCCTTTAAAGGAAGCAGGGCCAAGTCCTCAAAGCGGCCTAAGAGCGAAAGACAAAGTGCTCCTGAGGATGAAGCAGTTCAAGAGAGATAGTCCACAGAAGATGGTGCACAAAACTCACATCCAACCAGCAAACCACGAGAACAACTCTACTCCTTTTACACAGCAAAAAAATCAGGGTGAGATGATAGAATCCTCTCCAGTCTACTGCATCCCTTACTTTGATGTGCTCTCTTTTCCTGCTCAGTTTTTGTTTTTTCATTAGTTTTGTTTGTGTTGTGTTTGTGTTCAATTTAGGTTCAGGCAGTTTAGAGTGGGTTAGTTTTTATAGTTAAAATGTTTAGCTTTGGTTTTTATTATATTCAGTTTTCCTTTGTTATCTAATGGGTGGTATTTGTCAGGGGCAAGAATTGCCAGGCTCAGAACTGCACAGTAGGGAAATACAACAATATAAAAATATGAATCTCTGCTCTCTGGATTAACAGATGCACAAGAGTCTGATCAAACTGGCTGCAATAACAAATTTGATCAAACTGACAAAATTTAAAGACATTTGCTTTACATTCTTATTTTATTTTACTTAGTTTAGATTTTATTTTTATATTACATAATTACAAGTTTTTTTGCACACCAAGTTTTAGCTTTTAGTTCAGTTTAGTTTAGTTTACTTAACTATAATAAGCATACACCTTCTTTCTTATGCTTATCCAGTTCAGGTTTATAGGGTTGAAGCTGTTTCCAGCTGTTATAGGGTGAGAGATGGGGTACACCTTGAACAGTAGAGGTAGTAATGGTGAATGAGTTTAAATACCTGAGTTCAACCATTAAAAGCAATGAGCAGTGCACAAAAGAGCTGAAGAAGACAGTGTTGACAGGATGGAGTGTTTGATGGTGAGTGTCAGGGGTGATTTGTGACACAAGGATAGTATTAATCTGCCTGACAGTCTAAACATGGCAAAAGCAGCAACATTATGAAGACAAAGGTAGACCTTATAAACACTGTAATATTTTATGTAGGGTTTTCTGTGTCTGTATTGATCCGAGACATATTTTTTTCCCAAATTTTACACTTTAAATTTGCATCATTATATTTCAGTATATGCCATATAGAATTTACCTTGACTATTGACAAACTACTAACAACCTGTTACCCAGGGACTGAGTTCTATCGTTGAAAAATAGGAAATGTGGCCCATACCTTTTCCTTATTTTGAAATCCTGTTTTCTGAAATGTTGCTGTGTTATTCTTGCTATCCCTCACTTTAACCCGTATATTTCTGTCTCCGGGCTGTTCGCAGATACTCCAGATACCTTCAGCTCTGCTCTTCCTCCAGAGCCTCAAGACAACGATGAGGCTCTTGCTCTGCAGCTGCAGCAGGAGCTGGACAGAGAGGCAGCGCAGGCCCAGATTGTGGACTTGGAGGATGGAGGGCTTTTCTTCTGTCAGATTTGCCACAGAGACTTAACACACATGACAGCAGAGGGTCGCACACAGCATCTTAACAGGTCTGAGGATTTTGATTGCATTTTAGATGATAGCTTTACATACTAGTGGACACACAGGGAGGCTAAATGACATTAAAAAGTTTGTCTTCACTGTTACAGCACTGTAAGAGAGTGTTTATTGGACAAGTAGCCTCCATGTGGAGTTCAAGGATTCCACTCATTGAGTGCACCAAGTTGCATTTAAATGATTTGTTGGAAAATAAAACAATACCTTTTCTAATTTTCAGGTCATAACTTCATAAAGTATAATGACAAACATCTGATTAAAATAATGAAATCCTGGGGTTATAAGAGTTTTCCACAAATAAAAAAAAAATCATCCTCAGTTTCTGTGTTTTACAAAATGTTTGATTTCTTTGCAGATACATGAACTCTTACCTAAAGTGTCTCTCTGAATAATCAGAATATATATATTTTTTCATTTTTGTCAAAAATCTCTCTGTACAGGTGTTTGGATGAGAGTGAAAAGAGTGGCCCTGCGGCTCCTGCACATCCTCCTCCACCTTCTGGTGTTCCTGATTGTCCCATCTGTGGTAAGAAGTTCAAGTCCCAGAAGAGCCGCTCGGTCCACTTGAAGCGCTGTTCTTCAGATATGGACGTCTCACCGGCTGTGCTGATACAGGCTCTGCAGAGACAAGCTGAGGAAACCCAGAGTGCTGCCACTGCTAATTTACTGTAAGTCAGACGATAACTTTGTTGCATAACTAAAAGATAGATGACATCTAACTCTAGCCATTTTCTTCTTCAGCATTCAAGCTGTGGGCACCAAAAGGAAAGGCCCAACCAAGCCAGGCCTGCAGGCACGGAAGAAGCCCAAGAAAAAGCCCGAAGCCCTGGATGAAGAGACCATGGTGGCTCTGGCTCTGTCCTCCTCCGTGCTGGAACAAAAGAAAGAGGAAGAGAGGCAGTATCACACAAAGACTGGCACTTCTCACACGTCAGAGACTCAAGATCTGAAGTTGAGGCCAGAC